CACTGGATACAAAAAAACATGTCATTCAAACTCAGTGGCTCCAAAGTTTCAAGAGACATAATGTTTTATGGAACACTCATACAATAAATTCAACACAAATTAGATTTGTTGCTTAAGTGTTTCAATACAATATCACGTAACATATAACTTCATACGAATTTGAATGTTACATTTTTGGAACCTCCCATTTGATGCATGATTTGAGAGGTAATCCAAGCAGTAAAATTACACAGTTGAGTTTCATTATTGAGACCTAAACAAAAAACTTGAAACAGTTTCGTTTCAAGATGTATTTCTTGTACCATTTAATAGATTTCTGGGCAACTTAAATAATTAAAAAAAAAAAAGTAGACGAATCTGTGCCTAGAGGCACGAACGGAAGCTTAACGTTGGAACGCTCGTGGTCGGAACAAATATGTTGAGAATTTAGTTCTTTTAATTGATCGATAATCTATTATCATAACTCTTTTCGTTTTTGAATTAGTGGCCCTGATAAAGGCCGGTTGTTTTTCATATGGTGGCCTTAGAAAGGGCCATTATTTGTTTTTCTGGTGTCCTTTTGATCGTTTTGGACGGCTAGTTGCTCGGCATCAGTTTTTGGGCACATCATGGTGTTCTCTGCTCTTTTATCTGTCAATCGCTTTGGGTACTGCGCAGAACCATTGCAACATTGTACTGAATATTCGTTGTCTCAATACACCTGTTTTACTATCCAGCTAAAAACCCGGGTCAGACGTAATGGTCGATAGCCGGTGTGCTGCGAACACAACAAAAGCTACTGATTTTAGTAGTAGTAAGATTTACGCTTATTTGCTGGATTTTTATGTTTCAACATTTGGTTTAACATTGCAATTGGTTAGCCTTTGGCTCTTCATCTTTGTTCTAGTTAATTGGTTATTCTAATATGATGATTGCGTTTAGCGCTAATTTACAGGACCACCCTTTTAAGGGGTTGTTATCGTTTGAATTTAAACATTTGATAACCTACCTACTTGAGCACAGGAACCTACCTTACTACTTGAACTGCCAAATCACGAATGATCTGGTGGTTTGATCGCAGACAGGTGACTCTGAACCTTTCCAGTGTGGAAATCTTTCGCTCCTCGAGTGTTTTAAGACCGGCCAGGGGGTGCATCTCAGAATTACGAGTTAAGGATCATTCTGAGGATCTTGTTTTGGATCCTTTGAAGCTTTAAGTGGTGGCACTTAGCACAATTCTCCCAGATTGGCATACATGGCAACATGGCAAGCTTGTTTTTGAGGGACAGGGTGGACTTCTTGTTTATCAGAGGGTAGAGCGACTCAAGCAGGCTACCCTGAGGTACCCCTGCATCAACGTTGAACGTATCAGAGGGGACATTGTTCAAGTAGACCTGGAATGATCTGCCAGAAAAGTAGTTTTTGATGATCTTCACGAGGTAGATCGGAAAGTTGCATCGATACAGTTTGTACACTAGGCCATCATGCCAGACATTGTCAAACGCCTTCTCAACGTCCAACAATGCCATAGCAGATATTTAGCTCTACTTAGTTAATGGATCGTTGAATGACCTTTCCTAAACCCGAATTGCTCCCGAAGAACTCCAGCAACCGGCTTAATATCAACTTTTCGAATAGCTTCGAGATGGAGTGCAAGAGGCTGATGGGGCGATAGCTTTTGGCACTGGTAGGATCTTTGCCAGGCTTGTGTATTGGAATCACTTTGGCTAACTTCCACCATGCAGGGAAGTAACCAAGCTCCAAACATGTGTTGAAGATAACGGTAAGATGGTTGAAGAAGTCAATACTCAAGAGGTTGACTACACCATCCATACCCATCCATGGCCTTCATGTTTTTAGTGCTTCTAACAGCTGCTATCACCTCATCAGCCGATGTTCTACTATCATCATGCACTACTACGGGGTGCCAGCAACTATAGACATTGTCTCCAATACGGCAGGCTCATGGGCCAAGATTATGTGATTGGCCTTTTCAACTGGGGTTATGAGTAGGGATGGGTCCGAGTTCTGGTCAACAGAGGAAAGCAGAGGGATCGTTTTCGACTTATTTTTCAATTTTTTTTATCATCTTCTAAAATGGCTTTGCACAATCTGGGAGAGAGTGAATCTTGTTGACACGATGGTAATTTCGCCGGGAAACTTGAAATGTATTGGCCAAGGAACCTATTTCGGCCACCACCGGATAGTTGTCCAAACTCAGTTCCTGATAGGCGACAGGTTGAGAAATGTTATCGCCAATGTTGCTGATGAAGATGTCGATGGTGGCATGAGGTCCGGATCGACTCAACCGGGAGGGAGTGTCCGGACACAGGATGTTGTAGTGGGCTTCCTGCAGATCTTTGTACAAGATTGTGCCGTTCTGGTTTCGCCGACTATTGCCCCAGGCTTGATGCTTGGCGTTCAAGTCGCCAGCGATGATGAAATTTTGCCGTCGTCGTGTTAGCTTGATAATGTCTCTTGGGAAGTCTGCGGCCAAGCAGTCTCTAATATTAGTTTGCTTGGGGCAGTAGACCCCGATGATGGTGATTGGACCAAGCGATGTGCTCACCTCAACTCCGATGGCTTCTATAGTTTTTAGCTGGATGCTTGGTAGTAGCCGGCAGCTGATGTTCCTTCTCGCAGCGATGGCCACTCCCCCTTCTCCGGAACTGGTGCGGTCCAGCCTTACCGCAGCCGAAAGTCGGGAAGGAAGACGTTCAGCTCGGGTTTCAAGTGAGTCTCGGTGATGACGGCTATGTCGATGTGCCTTTCGTTGAGAAAGTTAACAATCGATGTGTATGCTCTTTAGGGAGCAAGCATTCTAATTTACGATCATGATGGCTTCACGCACAAGGGACAGGGCAGCATGTAGCTGTTCAGATCGAGTCTTGCAGGTGCGCATAATGATGATGACCTCGGCCACGAGCGTCACAATTTCCTTCGAGGTGAACTGAGAATCGTCGACAGGCTCACCTGAGACAGCACCAGCGTATAATAAACCTGAAGCGGTGGAGGAACCTGGAAGTGGCTGGGCCACAGCAATAGCGAGACGATGCTGAACTGTTCGACTGTTGGGAACCATTTGTGTACTCACAGGATTGGCTTGTTGGTTGTTGAGCGGAAGCGAGGCTTGGTTCAGAACATGTCGACGGAGCTGGAGAGCTGGGTACTGGACTTCCGTGAGTGCAGGAGGCGACCGGGCTGATTGTTGATTGTAGCCTTCCGACGGATTTTCATGAACTCCACTCGCTTGGGACATCCGCGATTGGAGGCTTGGTGGTTTCCACTGCAATTGACACACGTTGGTTCGAAGCCATCATCAAAGCAAAGGACACAGTTGAGTGAGTTCCAGCACACTTTCTACAGTATGTCTTCATATGGCAGTTTTTGATGCCATGGCCGTAGGAGAGAAGAGACAGGAGAGACGTAGTAACATCACGATGTTGGGGTTTGTAATCTCGGGTCCCGGATTTTGGATCTCAGAGCCGCAAGACTGGTGGATCCCTTAGTGAAGTGCACCAGGAACAACTGGTCACGGAAGCTGGTGTTGTGGTTGGAACGCCGGTTCATTGGGTACACCGCCTCAGGCTTGACCACAAGCCGCTCCAGCTCGGATTTCACCGCAGCTGCCTCGAACGACGGTAATCCACGCAAAACCACCTCCAATTGCTTGCTCGTTGGCAAATCATGCGTGAAGAAGTCCACGTTGCTGTCTTTTAGGAACATCCTATGTGTTTGTACTCCTCCAGGCTGGAGCACATAATTTTGGTACCGAGGCAGCAGATTGTGTTTTGCCAGTTCGGCACCCAGTTTGGCAACATCCTTCACCGGCGAGAAAAGCGGGGGAATCCGCTCTCTTCTAGCAATGGGAACAGCGTCACCATCGCCATTTTTTCCGGGGGTACTGCATACTGGTTGGCTTGCAGTACCCGTTTTCCGGCGTCATCTTGCGACGTGCTGGGCTTGATTAGCACCTTCATGGGAAGGCCCCGCTGCTGTCTCATTGGCACATTTAAACACCATTTGTTTCGTGTTTGCAAGTTCAAGTAAACTTGCCAGATCGCGAGAAGGTGGCGACATTTCCACGGCGCAACGCGACAGCACAAAACGAATCAAAATCGTAACGAGAACTAGAGCGAAAATACGGATTGAACAGCTCAACAGTCGAGCAAAGAGTTTTCTGCTAATGATTTTTATTACTTTAAATTTCAACACAGATGCGTCTTTTCAATTTTAGTTCTTTTGAAATTTCAATTACACTGGAGTCGCCTTTTATGCGGGTGATACTTCCCGCGTAAAAAAAAACTCGCGTAAAAAAAACTGCGTAAATTCCGGAATCCGCGTAAAAAAAACCGCGTAAATTCCGAAATACACGTAAAAAAACCACGAAGAAAAAAACCGTGTAAAAAAACCGCGTAAAAAACGACTCTAGTGTACAACGATAAACCTCGTAAATTCTGAAATCCGCGTAAACAAAAACCAAAATCAGTGTAAAAAAAAACCGCATAAATTCCGAAATCCGCGTAAAAAAAACCGTGTAAATTCCAAAATCCGCGTAAAAAAAACCACGTAAAAAAAACTGTGTTCTCCTTGTTCAGATCGGCCATTTCACCTTTCCTCGCTAGATCTCCGGTTCTTTGGAACTGGCATCTACGAACATTTATCTGGCGAATCAAGAGTTGGGTGTGGGAGTCAATGGCAATAAACTTACCCTTCACAGGAATTCGTCGGACGCGCACCTCGTCAGCCATGGTTATGACTTGGTGGAGTCCCTCCAACGCTCGGTCGATGTCATCCACGGTGTCAAGCGGCTGGTTTTCAATGATGTGTCTGTCTACCACGCGTCCAAACTGGGCCCACTTTGCGCGATGGTAGTCCTTGCGCAGGCTTGGACCAGGGTCCACGTTGTAGCCCAGTTCAGCCACCACCAGTTGGTGGTCCGAGCTGAGTTCCTTCAACGCTACTGACTTGGACAAGCCGGTATTTGTCAGGAACGTGTTTAGCGTCGATGGGTTGCTCACATGAGCGAGTTCAATGCTCGGTTGACCGCTAGGCCTGAAGGCAATAGTGACAGTGTGACAGCTGTGAAGAAGCTGCTTGACAACAATCGATTCTCCGTTCTGCAGGACAGTGCAGAGCCGGTGATGGTAACAACAGGACCGCCGAAAAAGAACAGAATGCCGCCCTTCTACGTGAAAGGCTTCCATCCCGGACTGCAGGAAAAAATAAACTTCTTCATCACGAAGGGCGTCCGGTGCACCATCCAGCTGTGCACAGAGGGATACAAATTGAGGGTACCGGCGTTGAACCATTACAAGATGGTTCAGACCATGCTGGACCAAGCACAGGGGGAGTATTTTTCCCACAACATCGAGGCTATTAAGCCACTCATGGTGGTCCTACGAGGACTATACTACATGTACACAAGCGTCCTTTTGGAAGAGCTGGTGGCTAATGGATTGAAGTCGGTCCAAATTCACAAGATGGCCCGCCACAACAAGGCTGTCAAGTACCGTGACCAGCAATACCTGGTCCACCTTGAGAAGAATTCAACAAGTCTGAAGGACCTACAGGGCATCCGCGTCCTGTTCAACATCATGGTGAAGTGGAAGTGGTACAATCCAGTTAGCCGCGGAGTCACCCAATGCTCGAACTGCCTGCTGTTCGGGCATGGAACGAAGAAATGCCATATGGCAAGCCGGTGCACCAAGTGTGGGAAGCAACATTGAACCGACGTCGTCGATAGACTCGATGAAGCCGATCCCATTTGCGCCAACTGCGGTGCTGCTCACAAATCTTCAAGCAAGGCCTGCCCGAAGCGCACCGAGTACATCGAGATCTGGAAGAAAGCATCGACGAGAAACCAGCCCGGCCGCAAGAAAAAGCCAGAGCTCCTGCAAACTCAGGTCAAACTCAGGTCAAAAGACGACTGCAGCTCCACAGCCGCAGGATCTCCCCACAGCCCCTGCGCTAAACTGGCGTCAGGATGGACCGTCCCTACCGCAGCCAGAAATCAACGATGGTTCGTGGTTCACCACAGCGGAACTAATGATCATCTTCCTCAAGATGCACGACATTGCCAACACCATCAAGAACAAATCTGACCAGCTCCAAGCTGTGGCTACCTTTAGTTATCTCAGTTATCGACCGTGAGCTCATTAAAATCGCAAACTGGAACGCTTGCTCGCTCAAGAGCACAATTATCGAGTTCGTTGACTTCCTCAACGAACATAGCATCGACATCACCATCATCACCGAAGCTCACCTGAAACCGGAGATGAACGTTTTTCTTTCTGGATTCCGTCTCGTGAGGCTGGATCGGATAAGCTCTGGTGGTGGTGGAGTGGCCATCGCTACCAGGAACAACATCTGGTGCCGACAGCTACCCAGTTTTCAGCTGAAAATGATTGAAGCATTGGGAGTGGAAGTCTCCACACCCGTCGGCCCCGTCACCATCATTGCGGCCTATTGCCCGAAACAAGCCAACGCCAGGGATGGATCCGTGGCAAACCTGCGGAGGGATATTATTAAGATAACACGATGCCATGGAAAGTTCATTATCGCTGGCGACCTGAACGCCAACGCGGGCAACCAAAGGCGGAATCAGAACGGCACTATCCTAAACAACGACCTGCAAGAGGTCCAGTACACCATCCTAGCGCCGGACGCTCCCACCCGGCTGAGCTGGTTCGGCGTGCACTCCATCATCGACATCCTCATCAGCAACATGGAGAACATCTCCCAACCGGTAGCCCACCAAGAGTTAAGCTCGTACCACTAACCGGTGGTGGCCGAGGTGGGCTCCTCCGTTAATCGATTTCATGCTTCCCATCGGAATTACCATCGGGTAAGCTGGGATCGGTTCCAACAAGTCGTCAACGAAGTCATCGATTTCGGCGCCCTACTGGAGACAACTGATGACATCGATAGATCTCTGTGCGCCGTCGAGGAGGCGGTATCCCGAGCCCGCGAACAACACGGTCAACTTCCAGATGGGTGAGTAATTCTCTGAACCTTGATCTGAATACTAAAAGCCCAATCAGACTCCGTAACGTCATGCGTAGGCTGTATCATAAACTAGACTGCCTACTTTGAAGAGCCATTCCAACCGTCTAACCAAACTTATCAAAGTCAAAATGCTGGAACTCAAAAATGAGAATTTTGTCAGGAGGGGGAACGGATGTTCCCTTCCAGATTGTGCAAAACCCTTTTGGAAACTAACAAAAGTCCTCAAAACTAAACCGAGGCCTATTCCACCGCTGGTTCCACTGAATTGTCCCGACGGTTCAGTGGTTCTCCTGATAACACCTGAAGAGAAGGCTGCCGCGATAGGTCAACATTTCGTCAGCTCCCACAATCTCGGACAAAACATCACCAGCCCTCACAAAGCTGAGGTTGCTGAAAATGTAACCAATCTCCACCACGTTCCTAACATCTTTCCCGAGGAATCCGAGATCACGGCTGACGAACTGTTAGCTTATATCAAAACTCCCAAAAACGTGAAGGCCTTAGGTTTCAACAACATCCTGAATCTGGAGCTCAAGCACTTCAACTATACGTGTGCCTCCAACTTGGCTACTTCCCCCTCTTGCTGGAAGTTAGCTAAAGTCATCCCTATTTGGGAAGGATTCTTCCTCTCCTTCAAGTTACCGATCCATCAGCCTTCTTTCAGGGTTATCCAAGCTGTTCGAAAGGGCAGCTTACAGCCGGCTTCTAACGTCTGCCGAAGAAAACAACATCTTACTCGGGGAGCAGTTTAGTTTTCGAAAAGGTCGATCGACCGTCCACCAACTGACCCGAGTAACAAACATTATTAGACGGAACAAGACTGATTCTAAAACATCTGCTATGGCATTGTTAGACGTTGAAAAAGCGTTTGACAATGTCTGGCATCATGGCCTGATGTCTTCCGATCATCCTAGTGAAGATCATACTAAATTATCTATCGGAAAGGACGTTCCAGGTCTCTCTGAATGGCATCACATCCAATGCCTTTAATATCGGTGTAGGTGTGCCCCAAGGAAGTATCCTTGGGCACATCCTGTTCAATCTATTCACCTCCGATATTCCGGGTCTCCTTGATGGTGGATCGTTGTCTCTGTTCGCAGTCGACACATCCATCGTCTACAAGGGTAGGGTCATCGGAGCTCTGACTTCCAAACTCCAGAGAGACTTGGATGTCCAGTCTGAATATTTCAACAGCTGGAAGATCCGTATCAACATGGCGAAGACTCAGGTCATAATTTTTCCACACTTATAAAATCTCCCAGACTTGTTTCGTCTGAGAAAAACAAAATCTGCCTAAACGGAACAGTGGTGGATTGGTCCAAAGAGGTAGTCTACCTTGGGCTAACACTCGACAGCAAGTTGATTTTCAGGGAGCATGTTGACAAAACGAAAACAAAATGCATAATCTTGATAAGGTCGCTGTACCCGCTTATCAATAGGAGATCCACCCTATCCCTGAAAAAACAAGCTTACTGTCTGCAAGCAAATAGTCCTTCCCATCATAGAGTACGGGTTGCCAATCTGGAAGAGTTGCGCAAATTCTCATCACCTCAAACTACAAAGGATACAGAACAAGATCCTGAAGATGATCCCCAACAGTCCACCACGTACTATACATTCTGAGGTCCACCGCCTGGCTGGTCTTCAGACCTTGGCGTTACGAAAGGTTCAGAGATTGCTGAATGCGATCCGATTAACAGATCATTAGGGTTCTGGCACGTTAGGTTAGGCAACTAGGTTAAGGAGGTAAAATATCAAATGTTATAATTAAAATCAACAAACATGCTTTCCTTAAAAGCAAAATGTAAACAATTACAATGTAAAACAAAAATCAAACAGTAACTTGTTACAGACACAATCTTAAAAGATGAAGAGCTTTCGGGCTAAATCAATTGAAACGTACACACTAAGATTTTTTTACAGTATACCGTAATTTTTTACCGAATATGGAACAGCTGAACATTCGGTAATCTATTCGGTAATTTTATTTTATTTACAATCCGTTCGGTAAATTTTGTTCCCTTGTGAGCTGTCAAAATGTACTGACCAGGACTGTAAATTTTGCTGAATGATCGGTGAAGTTTGCAATATAGCGTTCGGTATAATTTTACCGAATTGGCTGTACTTAATTTGCCTGAAATAATCATTAATAACATGATTTTTATTGATTAATTAGTTATTATTTCTACCAACAAACCTGAAGATTTTTTGACTAATCATTTATTTATTATCTATAAACATACATTTTCATCGTGCGTCCGTATATAAAGTAAATAAGAACCTGACCGTGGTTAGCGACCCAGTAGCGAACCGTGCACAAATTCGCTTTTTGCTGTTGTGGACGAGGTTTGTGTGTGGCATTTGGCCATTTAATGTCCATTGCGTCTGAAAGCAATTGGCCCAGAAATGAAAAAGAATTATATAATTAATACTTTCGATATAAATTGGACGGATTATAGGGAAAAATTAACGTACTTACTAGTCACAAAGGATAGCTGAAGAACACTCAACTTCAACATAACAGCAAAGCTTTACAGTGTGAAGTTTACAAATCTGTTCTGTATTTTTTTACAAAAATCTGGTACATTACTGCTGTTTATTTTTGTAAAAGATTATGTTTACAGCACATTCGTCACAATTTTTACAGTATTGCGGAATTGCAGCAATTTACAATTTTGATCAGTTATTTTGATATACAGTTTTCGGTAGATTTCTATAAATTACGGAAATTCAGCAGTTTTGATTGCGGAATATTGGTAAATCATTACTTTTACAAAGCTTTCGACAAAAATTATATTTTACAGAACGAATCCAGCAAAAAAAAAGTACCGAACAAGATTAAAGAGATTTGGTGTGTACAATAATTGTAAACCACAAGACAATAAGTAAATAAACAAACATTTTAGGTTTTCTTCGTTATTTGCTTTCGAGCAACGAACGGATAAGCGTCGAACACGACGTATGAGTGGAACAGCACGCATCACACCAATAGGAAGACGAGACGACGACGATAGCACTCACATATGTACAGAACAGTACAGCCACAGAACCTTTTACTTTTCATTTTGTTTTCATTCTCTGCTCGGGCAACGGCTTTATATTGTGGAGGTTTTGATTTGGTAACATACTGGTAGCTTTGAAAACTGTGCCCAAGGTTTTGCCCACGAATGTTTTGGAAAATTTCAAGAAATTAATCAAGGTTTTTCCTGAAATTTTGAAAAAGTTATGTATGATATGAGATACATAAGAAAACAAAAATTATTGTACTTGGAAAATGTTGACGGAACTTTTGGAAATTAATCATGCTTTCAAGAAGTACGGATAAAAAGACTTTATACGGTCTAGGAACTTTAGAGCGATTTTCTGCAAATGTTTTGCAACGTACCATATCAACTAGATAATACACTATTTGAAACAAAGTCATCAAAGTCAGGGGCGGGTGCATCGTTTTTTAGGCAGATTTATATTTTAAAGGCGTAAGTCAATATTGGATGTGACTACTTAGCTAAAACATAAGGAACATATCACTGTATGCGAGGCGTAAGCCAACACGCTAACGGAATGACCTCGTCTTATGTTTCTTTACATAATTTTTGACATTCTTTGCTTCAAAATGCTGTACCTATCTCAGGAAATACGCAAATAACTCCTTGTCTACAAGTGCTGCTTATGTATTAAAGGATAGTGAACATGATGGTGCTGTCATATTGGAAATCTTAAT